CTGCTGAAAGAAGGGTCAGTTACCAACAAGGCAGGTGTGCTTTGTTTTAGTTCAGGGCTTGTCAGCTTCTGTTCAAGAGATCTCTTTGTAAGAAGCAGATTCTGTACTTAAGTACATGAAGTGTTAGATACTTGATTTTTTAAATTCTCTTCTTAAAGGGAACACAAAGCAGAAGATGCAAAGACTGACATCAAAACAGTAGAGGCGATTTCTCTTGGCACTTGCTTAGCTGCAGTGGCTAAAGGCACTGAAGACAGAGGAATTGGGAATAGGAACTGTAAAAGGAAGGAAAGAGAGTGACTTTAAGTTAGAAAGCTGAGGCTAGGTTTCATTTCAGAGATGCTGAGAACTTGGAGGGAGGGCTAGGTGGAAACCAATGGGCAAAGAAGCTAGGCATGGAAGATGGTAGGAATGAGAAATAAGTAATGGTTATGGGTCTGACAAAACTGGAGAACCAGTAAAGAACTGGGATAGACTGAAGTTTTCCAACAGAAGAGACAGTGATGGAGAAATTACTGTGATGACAAAAGGTTGTTTTGAACATACATCAGCATGGGGTTAAAATGGGCACAGGCTGTGTGGGACACTGAGTGATTGTCAGAGAAAGATAACATTTGAGAAGAGCTGGAAGGAGGAAACCAGATTTGGCTCAGAAATAAGAGAAGGGGGAAAACTATTGTGAATGGAAGCTAGGATTGTGTGAGTACTTGATGTGAGAAGAAAAGCACCATATACTGAAGAAAAGAATGCAGAGGTGAGCATATAGAAGAGGTAAATTAGAAAATTGCAATATACGGTCCAAGAAGCATTTTGAAGCAAAATGAATGGATGATTTTGTCAATGAGGACAAACTCTTCACTTTTGTAATCTAAGTTTGGGTCTTGTCATTGTTCTGCTGTCAGCACATTTCTGTAAAAACACAGTTAGAAATTGTATGATTTAACTAAAACTAGTACCCTACAGCATTCCAATACCATGAAAATCAGAAAGCTAATTATGTCTGTGTCGACTCTGAATTGTAGTAAATACAATTTAAGTGCATAAAGCAGAAGTACTGACTAGCTTGCTGAGTGAATTTGGGCAGTTCTTTGAGCTAGAGAGGCAAGGAGCTTTGGAAAATCTAATTAGACTAAATCATGATATAACCATATATGCACCATGGAGCTGGATTAAGGCTTAATAGTCATCTGTTTCCATCAGGGAAATCATTACATAATATTGGCAGGCATAGTACTATTACTTCTTTGCCAGACAGAATTATAGTAAGAATTTGGATCAGGTAGACTTAAGATAGGATTTTTAAGAGTGTAGCACTCCAGTTACAATGTTGAGTTGTTGCAAACTTTTAAAAATGGTCTAAATGAAATGCAGTGATCTCTTAGCTTATATAATCCATAAAGAATCTCTGAACAGTCATTAGAATTGTCAAAAACTGAGTAATAATTTTAAATTTAAGGCAGTGCTTCTGCAGGAGCATGGCCTCTTCCAAAGTTTTCCTCCACTATTAAGCATGTCAGTCTTCCAGTTTCTGGATTAATCATTCTATCGTCTGACACTAATGCTGAATCTCAAAACATTTTTTTTATAATTCTAAAAGCTGTCTGTTCCTGATTAATATTTGGCCTAGAGATATGACCTTATGAATGTATTAGATACACACATGCACACTTACAAAATAATAGTTTCATAGAGAGGATTTGAGCCAATTGTCCTTAGTATTTCTTTTTTTTCGAATAACGGACTTGGAGGGGCCAGGTTTTTAAAAATTTACACATACAACTTTTTGGTCTCCAAGATACTTGCTAGCCCATTACTTTGTCCAAAAAACAACTGCTAGTAGGTAAAATTGTTCACATTTTTTCTGTTTCATTATGCTGAATGTCTGATCTACACTGCTGCTCACTGTTTCCATCTTTCCACTTTTACTGTGTAGCTGAAAGTGCTTAGTCACTTTCAAAAATCTCTGAGCTTTGTTATGAGAACTCAAAAAAACCTGGGTAGGTGCTAGTGAATTACAGACATGTTGAAATACTCTTATTCTGTCTTTTTTAAAATATCGATTTAAATTTTGCTTTTTAATGTTTTGTGTGTGTTAATTCATAAAGCCTCTGCTAAATATATGTTTTAAATCAGAACATTGATCTAATTGTCTGGTTTTTTTGTTTTGAAAATGTTTCATAAGTGCCAATTTCTAATTTTGCAGATATATGTGCTAAGTCTTCAATCTTTTCAACTAAAGAAACAAAAAAAGTAGGCTAGATTAAACAAATTGGGTTTTATTTATAAAAATAAAACAGGACACTTAAAACAATTTTGAAGGTTTGTTATCAAAACAGTGTATTATTTAGACAGCTGTCTTAATGGAAATAACTTTCTACTCACCTAGATCATGTACATAAAAGATTTAACTGGCTTTTTTCACAGCAGTATACTTCCTTAAAATGCAGAAAAAAATTGTTTGCTACAGTTTATTCAGCTTGGACAAAATTTACTTTATAATATACTTCTACTTTCAGAAATTTTTTTATTAAATATATTTTTCCTAGCCCTGTGATTCAAGTACTTTTTGGACCATTAGAGTACTAGTACCAGTACATAGAGTAATCTAGAGTTCTGTAAAATAACTTGGGAATTAAAATTTTATCTTCTTAAGACTGCTGTTCATAACCTTTTGTTTAAAGTGATAAACAGCAACTATTTTCTTTTCTTACTTTTCTAATCTAACATTGAGCTATGACCAGGGGTCCTCCCCTGCAGTTGCATACTTTTGTCCTGGCAGTCTTTTGATTAATGAGTGTATGGCACAGTGCTCAGTCACATTCCAGCCATTTCATAGCCTGGTGGAAAAAAGGCTGCAACGCTTCTTGTAAAAGAAGACTTGAAAATCATGTAGTTGTTGCTAATTGACCTGCGATTAAAAAATGGACTTGTTCTGCAAAAGAACCCTGACACTTTTCTGTGAGTAAATGCAGATGTTAAGTCTTTTACTGAACATTTTTCTTCAAGACAGCCCTTTCAATAGGAAATGTCTGGAGATGTTAGAACCCTTGAATGGTTTGGGTTGGAAGATAATCTATTATCTTAAAGATAATCCATTTCCAACACCCCTGCTATGGAGTCTTTTGTTAACTTGCTTTTTTGTTTTTTAAAGACCAAAATCAAGCAAACAAACAAAAACCTGCACTGAAATCTAATCTGTTATTTAGAATTCAGAAACAGGAACCTAGAGAGAGTTAGGCATGCATAAGTAAAGAGAGAATTATATGTGGGTGTGTGTATCATTTTCTTATTAAACAAATTACTAGGAAATACCGTGCTAGCTTTTAGGGAATATTTAATTTAACTCCCTTCAAACATTTCTCGTTTAGAATTGTGATGAAGGGAGTATTTGTTTACTGTTTTATGGTTGGAGAAAAATCTTCTGGTATAGGACTTCGGCATCCAGCACAGATGAAGACTCAGTATAGAAGTGAATTAGGCAGGAGGCAGAGTACAGTGGAAGTTTGTAAGAAAGGGATCTAGCAAAGTGCTGAAGAGAGAATATGTAGAGGCATCTAGGAACAGGATGTCTTTATTGTAGATACATAATAAGATGTATATATTTCTATATTATCTTATACAGAATATATATTATATTGTGTGTACACATGTATGTACGTATTTGAATTCTCAGATACATAAGGAGGGATAGGCAGTTCAGAAATAATGGAATAAAATGATTTGTGTTAGAAGTGATGTTCTTCTCAAATGCCTCACTTTTTTTTTTAATCTGGTAACAGTAACAACAGAATTTGGGGTTGGTGTGATTTTTAACTGAGCAGATATCAGTAGGAGCTTTATAATAATATCTGACTGGTTTATGCTGCCTTTTGTTTGTTTTACTGCTTGAAAATAGTGTACTTCCTCACACTTGGGAGAAACAGTTGCTGAGATGCTTTGGTAGTCTGCATATTCTACATTATTAGAATTTTGCCAGGTGACAACATCCTATTTAGCAAATATTCTTCCATGTAGAGCATTCTTTAGCCTTTTCTCCAGATGGCGTTTACCCTGTGTGATAGGCAGTATATTGTGTATGCAGTTCCCTAGTGAGACATTGGCTGTCTTAATGAGTGTTGTGAGCTCTACTGGATTTCACCTGTGGAGTATCCTGCACAGCCAGTCTCCAAGCTTTCCTTGCAGCTTTTGTACTGCTGCCCTTTGTTTCCTTGGTGGTTACAGGAAGAAGCCCTTGACCTTTGGGTAGGATGTTTTTAGCATGTATGGAATGATTTTGGAGGTTTTTATCTTTTTTTTCCTTGTCCTGCAAACAGAAAAGTACAAGTGTAGTAGCTCTAGATTTTTTCCTTTTATTATATAGAAGACTGACTCAAAAACTCAGAATTGAAAACACCTGTAGGTGTGCATTATCAAAAAGTAAAACCATTCAACTTGTTTGGAATACATATTTGATTAGGCTTTATGGTTTTCGTGCATCTCATTTATCAACTATTTTAATCTTGTGCTCAACAAGTTTGCATCTGGCATTGTGTAGTGTACTGGTGAATTTAAGGTAAAAAACAGGTAAAGGAAACTTTTTGACAGAATGTATCCTGATATGTTAGTGATCAGTATCTACCATGATTTTTCATGTAAAAAATGCAACTTAGCTGATGTCTTGATACTGTTTCGATTTTAATGTTATTTAATTAGCTCAGAATGAATAGATGACAGTTGTTAATTCCCGAAGCTGATATTTTGATACCAGTAAGGGTGACTGACCTCAGTATCAGCTGACAGTTTCAATTTTGGCAATATATTTGTTTTTAAAAAATCTAACTAAATTTAATATATTACATTAAAAGATAGCTGACCAACCACTTGAGGCTTTTCTTCAGGAAATGTGTGAGAACGCATAGATTATTTCAGGGTTTTTTTTTTTGTCTGATTCAGAATTTCTTACCTGGGTTTATGTATGTTATAGGTATTATATTCCCTGTTTTATGTAGATTCTCAAATACTTAATATTGATAAGTGACGTACTTTCCAGAAGTATTTGATTGGTTTAAAGAGCTATGAATTTGTTGGCAGTCTTTACAAAGCACCCGTAAAGCTTCGGATTAGCTCTTGAACCTCAAGAATGTGGTACATATGTAGTACTCTTAAAACATGTAGAAACTGGTTATTAAAATATACTAGAATATGTTATGATTCAAGGAGAACTCATAATTTTATAGGTAAAATGTGTATTTTATTTTGATGCAGATAGCTTTCACAACTCTGACCATAGATGCTATTTATTTTTTCATCCTTTTATTTTGATGTGTTGAGACTGTGCATAATTTTATGTTTAGAAATAGTATGAAGTTTGCTTATCAAACACTCATTCTATCAGTAAGCAATATATAATTGAGATATATATATATATATATATGCCGTATGTGGCAGATATCCATAGAAAAATGTATCAAAATAAGTGAATATTCAGTGTGTCAAGATTAGTTTAGCAAAGGAGTTATTTTCCTATTGCAAATAGTCCCTCTTTCACATTTGGCTATACATGAGCTGCAATTATGGAGTCTCTTACATATTGGTGATTTGTTTCAGAGAAGAACTGTTCCTTCAAGAGAATTTTAAGTTTAAAGAGTGTATAAACTTTTTTATTTCTCCTTTTACCAAATCAGGTTGGTTTTTTTTTTGTTTTGTTTTTGGCTTTTTTTTATAAATTCAGGTATGTTGTGCTACTAAAAGTCAGAGTAAATAATGGATAACTAAAAAAATTGCATGTATTGTTGCTGATTAAAAACTGAACAGCAAAAAAAGTTGGTAAAAATCTTAATACAAGCATTACTTAGTTATGAATCTTGTTAACTTGTACCTTATTTGTATTTTGTTATTTCTTACCTAGAAGTGGAAGAACTGTTAACTTCTCTTAAGCATATCCAGCACGTTTTGGTAGACCCTCAGAGCCAAGAGGATCTCTCTCTCATTTTACAGCTTGTTCAGAATAGTGATTTTCAGAATGCATTTAAGATACACAATGCTGTTACAGTGCACATGAACAAAGCCAGCCCTCCATATCCTCTCATCTCCAATGCACAAGAGCTAGCTCAAGAGGTATGTACAGTATGCATCTCTACTATATATGAAACATATAATCATAGCTGTTGTTGAAATATGTACTTGTCAAGCTTGTCTGAGTTACTGAATGTTGAATATGAAAGGGATTATAGTAGTCACTGATTACTGTATCCGGTTTTTCCAGATTAGCAAACAGTAACCAGAAAAATATTCTGGGCATAAGAACTCCCTTTTTTGGCATGGATAGATACATATCAGAAAAACGTACTAAGTTTACACTTAAGAAAAAGGAGCAGTTATGAAAATCTAGCTCTTACCTTCAATAGTCTTTATTCAAATTGTTTAGGAATTGAACTACAGTTCCATATTATTGTGTCTTTACTCTCAGTTGAGCCATGGTTCTTAGATTGAGAGGAGAATCTGAAAATGCAGCCATGCTGGAAACAAGTATTCTGCTTCAAGTGAGCAACAGATGCCTTGATACTTCAATTTCAGTGTTTTAACTACTGCTATGCTGGCCAGATAACACTTGACATTTGTCTGACAGGTGACAGCCCATCACACACAGCACATTTGGTATGTGTTTTAGAAATTATAAAAGTATACTTTTAGAAATTTACCAAAGCAAGATTTTTAACTTCAGACTTTTCAGTCAGATCGTAACTGTTTGGACTACTTCTACAGTTTCATCCAGGTTAGCTACTTCCTTTGAGGCTTACTCACCTGAATATGGATGGGCAATACCTGTATACAATAAGCGTATCATAAGCATTAGTAGTAATTTAGAGAGAACATAAGATACGAAGTTTCTGTGAACAGAGTTTTCTCATGCAGCTGGATGCAGCTAAGACCTCTGAGGGCTTTGGTGTATGTAGGTATTGCAGTGAAGCATGGCTACACTTTATACCGTAGAAATTTGTTAACTTTAAACAGTAGCTTAAATACCAGTATCAGTGCAACTGTAGCACTGTATTGTTCAGCTAAGTCACATCCAGAGGCTGGGTGAATGCTCCAGGTTTAGCTGCCAGTCAGTCAAACTTACCTGTTCAAATCTGGCTTAGGTAGATCAGTTGGAGTACTTGAGTTTGTGTACAGTCGTTATTCATCAGCCAGTAGGCTGCTGTAGATTCCCACTAGACTTCGTCAGTGTCTGCAAGCCTGAAGGAACCTTTTCAGTTCTGTTTGTAAACAATTTCCCCAAGCCCCCCCCCCCCCCTCCTCTTCACCCC